AAAACAACAAGAACGATGAGAATAACAGGGTTCGGTCCACACTTTTAAGAAACTCTGGTCCCGCGCACCTCAAACCCAACGCCACGCACCGCAGGCTGGCGCGAGGCACATGCCGTACACGCATAGAGTAATATACACAAGGTAAAGAGCGGACACTGCCATAGGCCCCAGCGGCCCAGATAGACCAGTGACAGGTAGCGCTCCTAGTGGGCGGTATTAAGTATAATCTGATTCCGTTTCCGGTCAAGTTAGTTTCGGTTTCCGTTTGGGCGTTTCTGCTCCGGTTCTTCGGTACCCTTCTCTCTCTTTTTCCTCCCCGCCCCGCTCGGCTCTCGGGAGCCCCTTGATGCCTGATGCCGCTGTTTTCTTCTTTTTTTTTGTTTTTAATACTGACACACTTATGCTTTATTTTTTACGGTAGAGTCCGTGCAAAATGTGTCAAACAATATTTCAACTTACTTCACAAAGCAGAAGTATATATATTTCTTGTTCTTTTTATATTGTAAAGCATTGAAGTTACACAATCGCCGCATTGACTCCTGGCTGGTGGAGCATCTCGGGGTCAACAACAGTAAGTGGTTCGAACACATTTTATTGGACCACATTCATGTATACATGATTTACTTCAGAAGCTCTGTATGTTTTATACGAAAGAGATCGATACTCACAAAAATAAATGAATATGAAGGACTTCGGCATATCGTACACTTCGTAATAGATTCTTAGCGGAACCAAGTTAACAAAACCTTTCCACGGAGAACATGCTGTATGATACATTCACTTTCACGCCGACTCGGGTACGGGAAGTAAGTGCAAAAATAAATAAGACATGGCTATCATTACCAGTCATAGAGTATAATAACAGTGCGAAGCAAAGGCCGGATAGTACAAATTCCCGATTTCCGGCAAATATAAAAAAACACCAATTTGCATAGCCTCAAACTCACTGCGGGCGAGCCATTACCAAACAATGAGAACTCTATTCGAAATCTGACAAGATTCAACGTCCCTAAATATTCCCCGAAATTATTCAGAAAAGAAATATGGCTTCAGAAAAAAGCGGCTAGAAAAATATGGACAGTGGATACGAAAGTGAATACATTTTCTTTCAGATATTGTTAGCCTCCATACACTATTTTCTATCGAATTTTTTTAGAAAGTGGACAAATATTTTTGTTAGAGAGCCGTGATACACATTCGCTGGAAAAAGGGGAAACAAATATTTGGAGAGCAAGCTGCACCGCCCACTTAATAATCACTTTTTGTTTTTGGTTTTGCAACCGCCTCTGTTAATACGCTATTAACAGTTAAACCTGTCTCGTTCTTACTAGCCACTGAAGAGTGCAACCGAACTTTGTCCGAATTCCGGTTCAGAAATTAGACATGTCAACACAAGCGTATTCTGCAAAACCAGTTTAAAAACCCTTTGTGGTACTCCTCTGGGCAAAGGCTAAAACCACCCAGACCTCAAAGTGTGCTATACAAGGCGGCACACACTCCTCGAACATGTGTCACACTCTCCGTTATGGGAAGAAAGTGATTTTCTAGTTGCTGAATGAAATGAAAGGCAGCCTGTGATGCTACTACTAAGTTCCCGAAGAATTTTCCAGGCACGTGGTATGCTTTAGGAACAAGACAGTACTGGTGAGGCCTGGTCAAGTTATTAGACTCATCCGATAGCAGCCGAGAACAGCCACAGCTGTAAGTTGTCTGTTCAAGCAAAAGCTTGATAAAATAGCCCCAAGCGTAATAAAAAAGTGGACGAGTCATCATTTATGTTAGACCTGATGTCTGATGCCAGCTCAGAAATATCCTCCAGTGGCGGGAAGTTATTAATTGGAAGACGTTCTACAATGTCTGAAATTAAACTTCCATGGTGCGAAGATATTTGCAACTCCTTTAGGAGGTCAGCCTTGTCATCCTCTACGTTTTCATTGTCCGACAGTTTGAACAGTTTCTTCATCCAGAAGTGTTTTAGTCCTGAGGTGAACTGACGCACATTTGGGTTTGTGTTGCAGCCCAGCATTTGTCGTATAGAGCTCCAAAAACGTTCTCAAGTGTGTCTTGCTGCAGGCGTCGTGTAAGTAAGAACTTAAAGTCATGGCTGCTTGAAAGCTCATCCCAGAGCATGAGGACACTTTTTATAGTAACTTGCCACCCAATGATGGCTTATGGCTGCCTCCTACTTTGGAACTGCCATGCTGAAATCCATCCTGGTGGAGAAAATCAAGTATTTCAGATTCTCCCTTTAGAACGGCATGATGCAACTTCTGCCCTGTCTTCTTGAATTTTTTAGCTATTTAGACAATAAAAAAGTATGCACATCCTATCACAGAAATAGGCTGTAGCCATGGCTGCCTCAGGAAGTTTCTTTGCATAAACAAAGGATATGATTGCAAGAAAGAGTGAGGCCCTCACTACATGTGGGGCACAATTTTCTTCCATGTTACAGAAAGGTTTTTGAATAAATGTGTCTCTCAGTAAGTCTCGGAGTCAATTGCAAGCTCATCTCATGGATAGAACAATAAAGTTCAACAATAAAAGACCGCTCAATGACCTCATTTCCAATGCAAAGTTTGTGGGCTTAGAGATTGCTCTTGGTTGTTTTGGGAAGGTGCGGAACATCAAAGACAAAGTAAACGTGTTTGTTGTCAACTTCAAAAAATGGCTTATCACCACACACACCAAGCTTACGTTTGAAGCCCCCTAACCACAGACCACATCCTTTACTGTGAAGCCAACAGTCTTAAAGGGGCGATGCACTGATATTTGTATTTTGCGCAAATACCGCTTAGAACGAATCCCTGACGTTAATGATCTGTAAATATACCCGTTCGTTTTCACCACACGCAATCGAAGTCGCAGGAAAAAAAAACGAAAAACGAGCAGAGTTCACCCCCTCAACTCGCAACCAGAACAAGCGGCCCCGTGATCTGGAGCCGATTATACGCCGCCAATGTTGATCATAATCATGCGCTGGGGTTGGCAAGGCACAGGACACGCGCTGAGTTCCAGACATTGTTATGGTTCGGCTGTTGTCGTCATTGCAGCGATTGAACACAGGACACTACCCGAACGTTTCTCGAGCTATCGATTATCATGAGCCCAAATCGAGTGTCCACGCCATGTTCGGGTCCAATCTATGAGCCCTATTCAAATATTGTCACTGGGCGCTACTGCTACCTTCCAGCTAAGTGATCAGGGTTTTCGAAGGAGAGATTGAATAAAAACACTGGGTTTTGCCCTCGAAATTACAGCGCAACAGAGGAGTTTCTTGGTTAGTGGCGTTCCGTGCGAGTATCCTTGAGTCCCACTAGTGCCAGTAAGCTCGTGTAAAGTGAAAAACATTCCAATTGAATATCATTGCACCGCCCCTTTAAGCTCCCGAATGAGAGAAATGAGGAAACTGCGTTAAACAGAAGATGTTGTTAGAGTGAAAAAATTGGGTTGTGTGTGTGTTTATACAGCCTAGAACTTAGTCTGCCTCAACGGGCGACGAGTCTCCCAGCTGTAAATGAGCAATTTAGCCAGTGCAGTACAACAACCGCTAGCCTGGGGTCTTTAACGTGCATCACGCAGTAGTGATACACGACCGCACGCCGGTACGATGCTCATCCAGATCGAAACGGGCAGGGGTGGGGATTGAACCCAGGATCCCTGGGTTTTGCAGCGCGAGCTTTCGCTCCACGTGCTCCGAGCTGGTGTGCGCTAGCCCACTCGGCCACCGATCCCCCCGTTGTTGGAGTGTGCACAACAGTGTGTGCAAACGCACCTCCTGGAAATTTCAGACAGCATAACAACAAGGCTCTATCTGCAATGCTAGAGGTTCGTTCAACACCGTCATCTGTAAACCCATGGACAATGCCGTGTGCAAGGTCGTAAGTTAAATTCTTTTTTTAAAACAATCTCATCGAAAATCAACATGCACACACGTTCAAGTGCAGCCAGACAGCCCGGCAGAAACAACAGCGCGAGAAGCTCGAATCGATCGGCTCCACGAATTCACGCCGAGCATGCGAGCACACGGGCGGTCATGCGTCACCTTGATTGATGCAAAGTCGACCGAACATGATGCAGCAGAAAGCACAGATGGACGGCACGCACGGCACAGACGAACGACGCAGGGACAAGCAGAGGCCATGCAGAATGATGCAGAGGCGACGGCGTGCAGGCAGGCAGGGCATGGCACGCGCCATTCATCACGTGGTTTTTGTGACGTATTTCATTCAAACTATTTAGTCGTTTTAAGTACTTTAAACAATTTTAAAGCATTGCCATTTAAAAAATAAATACTTTTCACAGAACGAGTTTTGACTAATTTTAACCAAATTGTAGAAATGCGCCACGTAGCGGAGGGTATGAAACGTACTATCTGGGCCGCGAATCGGCTCCTGTGTCCTCTCTTTACGTTTACTATATTACTCTATGGTACACGAGCACAACGACGACGCCCAGCTAGGAGCGTGTCCTATCAATCCGTGAAACGCCAGCGCCACACCAGCGCTCGAACCGCGCCATCCCGCTGGACGCGGCGCGAAAAGCCAGAGCGCGTAGGCCGGGAGTTTCAAAATACTGGGCACAACTTAACGCTGTCGCTAGCGTGAGAAAGGACGAGACGACACGCCAAAGTAAAAACCACCCGAACCTTCACGAGTGTCGCCCTCCCGAACACACACATGGCGTTCGTTCCAACATCCGTATTCAGGCGTTTGACTGCACAGAACAGTTCACCGATAGCAACGCGTACTTTAGAAACGATCTAATAAGCGTCTCTCCAGTGCTCCGGTGTCGCAGAGCATTCAAGGGACTCTCAAAATAGCGGCGCCGCCGCCGCCGGTCAGTGCTTAGACGATTTCACTTTTTTCGGCTCAAATCGTCGAAACAAGTGAAAAATCATCCGAACTACGGTGGCAACGTGAGCTACGTTGCTCAGAGGATAATCTAGCGTATCTGGATATTATTCTAGCATGCATAATGAATATGAAATCGGCAAAACTTACCTAAACTCAGATCGACCGACGCACTCCGAGAAACATGCCTTTGTCTCCTCTCCGGCGAACAAGAATCTGAAAGCTGCTTGTGGCTTTGGATTGGCACGAAGCCAAGGAAGCCAAGGATTGAAATACGACTCAATAGTTTCGGTTTCGACCCCACTCGATCACAGTTCATATTTCTGGGGCCGGTGTCACTACTTTGGACATTACAGCAGTTACCGTGCTCTGTACGAACTTTAAAGTCAATCAAAGGCGAGCAGACATAATTTCGCAGCTGCTTCTCCTGTTATACGTTGCTTAATAACCTTTGCTGATTGAAATCTAGATCAGCTAATGTCCATCTCGTCCTTCATACATACGGTGTTCAATATCTTAATTCATCATTCAGTGTATTTGTGAAGACACGTAATTGGCTTAATCATTCACTGGAGATTTATTTTAAGTTTTTATTTTTAGCTAAAAAAATATACGTATTTTTTATGTTTTTTTTTTTGGTCTGAATTACAGGACGTGTTTTGCGGCTCAGTAAAACAGGTTGTTTTGAGAAATTCAAGATCACGTACAACCGACAGTATACCAGTGATGTAGGTAGAGGGTAGGCGGGAGAAGCTTTCAGGGAAACCCCCCTCCCTCCCTTCTTGGAAAATATTCCTGGCTGCGTCGCTAAATGGGCATAAGAGAAGAGGCACCGCGTTTTTCGCCTCATAAACATACACACAAATCGAAGGAGACGTGCATTTTTTTGCTTCACGTGAGATTTGCTGAGCATGACTTCCAGTTTTGAGATGAAGCAGCTCCTCCCATCTCTTTCCACTTTTGGAGAGCGAACGCTCGAGAGGAGCCTACCCCCTCCCCAGCGTTTACTTTCAACCTGTCACCGAGTATGTTTTTTTTTTTTTTCTTTTTTTTTTTTGTGGACCTTTCGAATCGCTACAGCTCGCAGTGCATACAGCCAGGCACGTAGCCAGGGGGGGGGGGACATGGGGCCTGCCCCCCCCCTTCCCCGAAACAAAATCCTGGCTACGTGCCTGCGTACAGCGGTGTAATCCAGTTGCTAACGTTCTGTGCGTGTCTAAACAGAAGACATGCTTCCCTCCGGAGCGGGGTCGGCGGCAGAGTGTTTCAACCTATGTTGAACCGCAGACAAGGCTAGAAGCGTGAGCTCATAGCGTCGGGACTCGGGAGCTACTCTTAACGCACGAGAGCTTGTGCCACCGAGATGTGCCCTAGAGCAAGGAGCTCGCACTTGTAGCCTTTCCTGCGGTACATCATAAAGTGAAGCAGATATATAGACGCTTTACACACGCGCCAAATTACAGCCGCCATTGCTGACCTTCTCTTGTCTTACCGAGATGCCGAGCAACTGAAACGGTAGTTGACGATCCTTTACAAAGGCCGATGCTTTAGAAAAGGACACTGTGGAATCTAATATGGCAATAACCTGGCCTACTATGGTAATGATGAAGTGAAATAAACGGAATAAGAGGAAACAAAAATTGAAGGTCAGTTATGGCGGCGTCCATGCACAGCTGCTGCAAAGCGTCTATAGAGAGTATTCACTGGCGGCCATATCCGTGTGCGCTGCTGCTGAGCGCGTGCTGGCGGCGAGCTTCCGCAGTCCTTTTTGAGCGTGCATTTAGCACCATCAAGGTTGCTGGTCTTAGCAGGCTATTAATGTGAGCTGGCTCTGAGCATGCGCTCTTAACATCGCCCTCACATATGGTGTCCAGTGAATATCTCCTATGCGGAGGGCAAGTTCGTCTGCTTCTTGCGCAGGGGGTAGCGGTGACGTCAGAACGCCGAGCCCTGATTGGCTGATCGAGACCCCCCTATCTGAGCGTCGTCTGCTCCTTTGCAACGTCGTCTGCTCGCAACGTCGTCTGCGTCTGTCTTACCTTTCCTGCGACTTACGGAAGTGCAGAGGCCAGATTCACGAAACGATCTTACGCCAAAAATGTGCGTAAGACATAACTTAAGAACAAATTCGTATTCACGAAACGAAAGTTTCGTAAGTTTTGCGCAGGTTACGACGAAATCCTACGACAGCTCCGAAGCTGTCTTAGCACTTCTTACGATCAAATCAGCATGGCCGAAAGCGTCGCGGTCGCGACGACCTACGGACGTTTATTTTTCTACGTACGCTTCTCACGCGTCCCGACTTCAAGCAGCAAGAAAAAAAGTAAAGAAGTACTTGAAAGAGACCACTACGAACAAGAACGCTGGATCCACAAAACACCCGGGAAAAGCTCCAACGGCCAAGATTCCACCGAACGCGAACAAGCGAGCACGGCAGTTAGGCCTAGCAGGCACTCCGCGACTCGGCGACCGTCTGCCCACGACCGGTTGGTGTGCTGCATGGAATATGCCCGCGCGACCTTTGTGAACCCTTCCCGTATTATACGTTGATCGCTGACCTCAATTTTAGATTAAGAGGTCAATTTCTTCCTCTTGTTATCTCCTTCTTTCCCGAGGCAACGGTGACTCGCCGGTGAAAAAGCGGTGAATCTCCGACAGACGCAGGAAAGGTAAAGCAGCCATCGCTTTGACTAGCAGACGTAAAGCAGACGACGTTAACTGCGCCAACCCGCCGACGCCGTTAAAGAATGAGGGGTCTCGCCGCACACGAAAGGAGGGAAAAAGTATTTGGGAGGGAACTTGCGGACACTAGCCACCCTCACTCTCGGTTCTTAGCAAACAAACCTCGGCGCCTCGGGACACCTCGCCGGTGAGTCCTTTGACTTCCCTCCTTGATGCGCGTCTGCTAGTTGTTAGACAAAAACAACGTACCGCTCGAGTTACTTCGTCTGCCCTCTCTGAAAGTCGAAGTCGAGCTCGCTCGTAAAGACCTGCACTTCCGAAAGTCGCACGAAAGGTAAGACAGACGCAGACGATGTTGCGAGCAGACGACGTTGCAAAGGAGCAGACGACGCTGAGATAGGCGGTCGCGATCAGCCAATCAGGGCTCGGCGTTCTGACGTCACCGCTACTTCCTTTCTCATGCGCAGAAGACGAAAATGAGCCCACTTGCGAGGCGTATAGAGCACACGAGCTCGTAGCACGTGGAGCGAAAGCTCGCGCTACAGAACCCAGGGATCCTGCACTCTAAAAAAAAAAAAGGTGTCAAGGGAGAGTAAGTGCCCTCACTTACTCTCCTTTAACTCTATCTGCATGGAAGTTACTCTTTCCCGACCGCTTCTTTCGATGATACTCTCCCTTAACCCTCCCTCGACCTCGAGAGTAACTGTAACGAGAGTTAGTTTCTCCTCGCGATATCACGGGCTGTCGATAGATGGCGCCGCTATGGGTTCGGCGCAAGTTCGACGCTGTTCGGCGCAGGTATTTTTTTCGTTTTCTCGGGGAAACCTTTTTTTCCTATCCGCTTTTCTTTTTTTTCTTTTTTTTTTCTCCTTTTTTCTTTTTTTTTGGGGGGGGGGGGGGGAGATGGGCAAGGATGTTTTAATAAATGAGTTGGTACAGCCTGCCTTGACGGGTTTATATTTCAGTATTTATTAACTTAATTATTACCTGCGGCAGGAAGATCGAGCGGGGGACACTCCTTTATCCGAGCAATAGGCAATTAATGTTTTTGCTACACAGATATATTAAACAATAAACATGTAGATCAGTGTGTAAACGGGTGTATGAGCGGATGCTGACGCGCGTGTGCGATTATGTTTCGTTACATAAGTGCCTAGGGTTGTTATGTAGCCCAGGGATGTTTTTGGGGCATTGTTATATTTTTGGGGTGTCGTTTCAAGTTACTGCTGAGCCCGACCTCACTGATCGTAGGAACAGGTATATGTATAAAAAAATGTATTTTTTCCACATTCGCATTAAAAGCAAGCAAAGAGGAAAACCTCCCTCCGTGACAAAAGAGGTCGGCTTCGCGCGGTCTATTGCATACGCCACGTGACGACCATTTCATAAAGCGTCGCCCTAAACACGGCGTTCGTTTCGAAGGCATGTATAGGTTCAAAAAACCTATACATGGCGGCAAGCCAGGTTTATGGTACGTGACACTAGGGGCTTCCTTATTTTCACCGCCGTGGAGAAAATAAACGACGGAGCCAGAGCGTTTGGAAAAGTTGTTAGCGATGATTTCCAAACATGTTATGCGGTCTATGTTTTGAGTCATTAAATGAACTTGGCTTGACTACTACCTTTTTTTTCAATATTTACATTTTACTTTCCGAAGCGAGGGAGTCGATTAGTCTTCTGCTCTGTTCAAGAAAAGCTCTGGGGGGTTAAACCTTTAACTCTGCACAGTTAGCTACATCCTTTAACTGTTTTAACCTCACTCTCCGAAGCTCCCTTGACAGGAAGGTTTTCGATATAAGAGAACATTCAAGATCGCTGCTCTTTTCCGCTGTTCATCAAACAGTTCCTAATGTACAGCGGAAGCACCGTGTAGCATTCCGGATATCGATATTTGCGGTACGGATCTCACTGGCTTTAAATATAGATACATTAGTGTGTATTACAGAAGTCTTATTTCGCTGTCCAACAGAGCCACATGTAAACTGCCATTGACGGCTTCACCTTACGTTCAGTTGATTCTACACAGCAAGCGATAGCTCAATTATTTGGGGGAGAACGTAGACTGCTCTATGTCGCCCTACGATATGTTAAAAAGTATGCTAAGCTTCTTATGTTCAATGTCCCCGAGGTACGAAACACGGACGACAGAAGCTCAGTTAAAATGAATGAGCGAAAATGTCTATATGTTCTGTAACTACCGGTAGCTTCCTCCATCTAGCATGGCCTTTGAAAAAGCCTGTGTCTAGAGTGTCGTGGTACTCTTGCCAAGCGTTCAAGTGCCCACATCCGATGGCACTCTAAGCACGCATTGGAGTGCCATCCGAATGCCCTAAATGGGCTGTAAAGAAGACGTGGGTCAGCGCGTCCCGAGAAGCATAGCCTGCCGCATCCGTGAGCTAAAGAAATCCGATTCACAAACAATTTTTAGGACCCAGAGGAAATTAGAGAGTAAATAAATTTAGAGGAATTTAGAAGATAAATAAATCTGTCTTTTAGAGACAGCCAAATTTACTTATAAGCTTGGTCTTGGT